AAAAAAAGAGACGAGAACTATATTGGCGTATGGATAGCACGACAACGATAGAACGTGTTCTCTTATCTTTCGTTGCTCTATATACTATTTATGCTCTCAGGCTCTGTCAAGGTGTATGAAAACACAACTGTTGCCCCGTCTACAACGTGTCGCAGAGCGGGTGAACTCTTTTTGGTCAAGACGTTAATTTGATGCACATTACCACACTCCCTTCTACCCTCCCAGTCCCTTGTTTTACCCCGATGGATGCAAGCGTCCTATTCGCCTGTAGGTGGTTTAAGAAGCCTCCTGCAATGTCTCGGGAAGGTGGATTCCATCAGCGACAACGAAGAAAGGGCATCGACAGTTGAAACGTTCTCATACTACGCTTTCCAACGATGTATGGATACATAGTTTTGAGTTTCTGAGCAGGTCAAATAAAATGGCATTCGTGAACACTTCTCTTTTATTTTGGCTCGTTATCATGGACACAGGATGTTTTATTCCCCTGTTTTGACTCTAAAGTCTTTACATTTCATCTTACAATCACGGGGAATCGGAAGATAAGTCTTTTTTACTAACATAATATGTATACTTCCAAAAATTGATATCTGAGCTAAAAAATAGTTAACAAAAATCACCGGCCCGCGTGTTACATATCAATGGAAAGGCCATTAAGTGTTCTCTGATTTAAGCATGACTTTCCCCTGGAAATCGCATAATATCTAGCGTAGCTGGACATCATATCTGCATCGTTTTAACAATGAGTATGAGATAAGTAATAAATAGTCGATGGTGTTAAGTAGTTTTAACCATCGACACCGACATAGCTAGCGTGTTGTTAACTGCCACTCCTCATTCTCACAACAGAAAGGAACGATGCTCATGTCTTCAACCAAAGGGAAGCCTTATGTTACGTAAATAATAAATGAGTCGCTAAAATTTAAAAGCTATCTCTAGCTAGGACAAAATACATAGTTCGAAAACAAACCTAAATAGGAGTTGATCAAACCGTGAATATAGATATGTAAAGGCCATGTCAGCAGCAGAGAAAAATACAAAACAAAAAACAAACAAACAAACAACAACAAACGAAGACGCGCTTTTTGTACTCAATTTTTAAAACTGTTTCCAACCAAACCTCCTCATAGGTCCAAGACCTGACCCTAGAGAACGAACGCAAAGCACAGATCATCAACGCTTTGACAGAGGAAGTGGAGGAGAAAAAAGCACGGCTGCAAGAAGCCCAGACAAGAATAGAGGCCCTTGAGAGGCGGATTGATACCCTGGAGACTCAGAAAGGTATATTATTGCATACACTTATTTGTTCCTTTCGTGGTTCGAAAATGCAAGTCGTGAAGGTTTATACCTTTCTCAACTTTCAATACGGTACTAATATGGATCTGCTTTATGGTTGGGGGGGGGGGGGCAGTGATCCTTGTCATACCACCAGGACAATATTAATTTTTCAGGAAAACAGCTAGTTTGATTAGCACCTTTTCTATGTCAGTATAGAAGTCGTGTGTTGTATATAGGGTGGTTGAGAAGGGAAAAAATATGTTTTTTAAATATTTTGCAAGTCTCTAACTTTTCTCCTCCAACTCTGAATAGGGTCTTCTAGTTCTGCTACATTCGCTACATTTAAACTATATTCATTTCGCATAATACTGTGTAATGAGCATGGCCACACTTTGTAATTACACCTGGACGATAGGTTGCTTTTGACGTTTCAGTAACCAGTTAATACGTTTTACTCTCTTGGAAGAACTGAAGTGCTTTGTGAAGTTTATCTTTAAAATATATAAGTTAAAGCGAATTTGAGGCGAAAACCATGTATTAAGGCGAGAGAGTAGTTATAATTTTTCAAATCTTGAGACGTTACTAGAATATCGCTTGATAACTCAGACTTTGGTAGCTGTGGCATGTTCCATCTAAATCGGTGTTCTTTTGGCTTGTTATAAATATTCAAATACATATAATCAAAGACACGGTCCCGTTAACTTCATGTGTTTCCTGTATATTTGTACGAAAAAGTATAGGAGCGAAATTCTTTTCAAATCAGTTTCACTGCTTACATGTTTTACGATTCAATGCCCGTTTCCCTTCTAGAATGCTCTGTTAAAGATTTGATCCAAGATCCCTCACGCAGCATTATAAAAAATGACATTTTTACGACATATCCTCATCAAGACTAACCGGTTTGCTGTTTTGTTTGAGTAAAGAGAAGCACATCAACACAATAGTGGTCATTTAGTGCTGGAAAAAGGTAAGACAGACAGACAGAAACAACATAGAGAAAGTAATATTAATCAGTAAGACCTACCAGCGGAGCCCTCCAACCACCCGCAGGCTAACCAGGAGGAGATAAAAATTGGACAAAGTTTTAATGACTGAAAACGCGCGTGTAATTTAAACACAGCTGAGCAAGAAACATACAGTTTCAATGTTTTGTGAGGACAATGCAGTTGGAATGTAGAATACCTTACGCACAAACAATAGCAATTATTCCCAAACAAGTAGACAGACAAATAACAAAGGACAAAGAACATTGAATAACGAAAATGGAACCAGATTTCTATGTGAGTTCAACAACCTGGCCGCTCCTGTTTCTGCGTCATGTCACTCAACAAAATGTTTTAAAAATTAGATTGTTGGTGTCTGTCGACATAGAAAAATATATCTTTTCGGTGACAGACCTTAAATCATGCTTATCTTTTCTATTAGTAATAGTCACTATGAATGACCCTGACAACTTGTCGCTTCATTGGTCTCAAGATATTGCCGTTTCCCACAAATTGTTTCTACGCTTCTCTCCAACGATTGAAAAACCGTGTCTTGGAAAATTGACATTGATGATAAGTCTTTGTCAATAGGCTCATGTAATACGTGAATTAAAAGTTCTCACACGGATGTTACAGCATCTCAACAGTATTTGTGGTTAAAGGTTTGACCGAAAAAGGACAGTGAAAGTGTGTTTAACATTAGCAGGAATCCTGATTGTTTTGAGCCAGTCTACAGAAAACGATTTGGTTGTTTGGGCACAGGGTGAAGAAGAAGTATTCTACGAAGAAAAACGTATTTAAAAAAAAAAACCTTTTGGGTGGGAACACCCGACTTCCACGTGCCGAATCAATTTTGTTGTCTTTTGTACCTTATGAAAAATTAATTAATAAAATCTCCATGGCGTAATTACAGTTAACGTAAAACACATTTACCCGTCTCCCCTTTTCCCCCTTGAAAAAGCACTTCTAAAAAGGAACAAACAACGACAGAAGCGAAACAGACTCATCATAAAACAAGCAAAGTAACAAAATATAAAGTAACTGTCCTTATCTTTTAAAACCAGTTCGGTCGGAGGAGGACATGAAGGCATTGCGTCGTCGGATGGAAGAGCAGGAGGAACATTCTGCAGAACAGAGCAGTCACTTCCGCAATGAGGCTGTGCACCTGCGCAATCAAGTACTTGAACAGGAGAAACAGCTAAAGCTGCAAGAAGCCAAGATGGCGGAAATGCATGATGAGCATTACAAGAGATTTGAGGAGCAGCAGGTGAGGAAAAGTGCGATGTCAGAGAGTGAGCGAAGCGATAATGACATAAGGAGAGAGAGTGAGAGAGAGAGAGAGAGAGAGAGAGAGAGAGAGAGAGAGAGAGAGAGAGAGAGAGAGCAGTGGCGGGGCCTAGTGTAGGTCTAAAGGGCTTGAGCCCCACCCATTCCCACCCCACCCCCTCCGTAAAAGAATGTTCCTTCTAATAAACGAGATAATCAGTTGAAACCTTTAGAACTGATTCAGAATCTTCCGCCTCCGCCTTAAGTTGCATGCGGTAAACACACACACGCTTGCTCGTTTATACAATCACTGTATTCACCGCTTACAACGATAGTAACCTAATAGCCAATCAAATGTGTTTAGGGGTCTGCAAAGGATGAGCTCATTCCCGCGGTCCTTTCTTTATGAAACTTTTCTTGAAAAAAGTTAAAAGAAACAAACGAGAGCCCGCAGAAACTGTTGTTAGGGAGAGCTCGTTCTCTGCCAGCCCAGACAATGGGGGGAAAGTTCATGACACACTTCTCCCAGAGACCCAGTAACCAAAACAAGCTCATGAGCCCACGTTTTAGGAATGCCTTGCTTTCTACGACCCCACGACTTAATCCAGTAACTGTTGTTTGTGTGCATTTGCGAGTTTAATTAATTCATTAATTAATTTTTTGGGCAAGTGTTTTACGTCGCTCGCAACTGTATAAGGTCATACGAGCGCGTTCGTGTGTGAGTGTATGAATGAAACATATTCCCACATATCTCTAATGTCCCCTGAAATCTTACCTTTGAACTCTACGTACCCTGATTTCTCAGCCCCACCAACATTTAGAACCACCCACCGTCACTGAGAGAGAGAGCGAGAGTGAGAGAGAGCGAGAGAGAGGGGGAGAGAGAGAGAAAGAGAGAGAGAGAGAGAGAGAGAGAGAAAGAGAGAGAGAGAGAGAATGAGAGAGAGGGGGGAGGGAGAGCCCGAGACTGGAAGAAACAGAATGATATAGAGTGGCAGACAGACAGACAGATAGATAGATAGATAGCAACAGAGAGAAAGAGAAAGAGAGAGAGAAAGACATATTCATAGGGAGATACTATCTATGATAGAAACACAGTACAAAAGGAAAATAAACAAGCAGACATATTACGCTGGCAAGCTCGATGCATAGAGGGACAGACGGATTTGCTTCCGTCTCTGAATTTGACGATAGCTGCTGCATGATTACTTGTAACCCTAAATAAACGCAGAAGATCGCGTCGTTCAAGTCAGAGGGGGATAACTGCGTCCTCCATAATTTCCGAAAGAGTTCACTTTGGAAACTCGATTTGGTACTTGAAACATTGTAAGAAAAGAGGTGTATTTTTATTTTTTACACTTTTTTCTTTTGGGGG